ACCACATCCCTTTTATCTTCCTTCTTTCTGTCCCTCTCTGAATCACCCCCTGTTTTGGGTTTGACAACTACCAAGGCAGGTGTAAGCGGCTGAGGTTGCATCATGACTTTCCTCCTAGTCTCTTCATTGTGCACTAAGGAGTATGCCTGAGAGAGGGTCACACTATCTCTGGTCAAAATCTGCTGCCTCACAATATTATATTATGAATTCAGTCCTGCTAGAAACTCAAACACCCTATTTGTCTCGATGTGCTTTCTATGGGTCTGAGCATCTTTGAGACTCTCCCACTCAAGAGTCTCTAAGTGATCAATCTCATGCCACAGGGACGTCAAGGTAAAGAAGTAGACCGAAACCGGTTTCTTTCCTTGTTTAAGGGTATTCACCTCACATTTCAATTCATATGCTCTGGCAACATTAAGGGGTTGGGAGTAAGTTTCTTTCATCACATCCCATATCTCCTTGGCTGTCTTTGCCCAYAAGTAATTTCGGCTRATATGAGGCTGCATAGAATTACACAGCCATGTCATAACCAAGTAGTTTTCTTGGACCCACTTGGTATACATAGGGTCTCCCTTGAAGGCTCTGTCACATCTCCGAAGAGATACCCTACTTTGCCCCTTCCCCCAATAGCATGGCTGATTGGGCCCATTCCAAATAATTTGATCCATCAAATCTTACGGTTGTAATCTGAAAACCTGTCTCATAACCACCACCATAACCGCTGTTCCCAAAACTGCCTTCTGCCTGATTCTTAAACTCCATTTCAGTCAAGAACCAGTAGTCTCAAAATTAGGGTTACTACAATCAAAACAGCACTTGGACTATCAACCACAATCACAAAATCAGTATAGAGCCAATCTGTACTCACAGTAGATGTGCATGAAACAGGTATAAAACTGATCTGAAACCAATTACCACACACAACAGCAACAGTCCGTACAGTTTTCACCCCCTTAGAAGAGTTCGAAACTCCAAAAGAAAACTGAAAACAGCTTGGAGAATAATCTGATATGCTGAAGCAGAATTAGGGTTTTAATCAGTCCTAAAAGCAAATTCTTAGCCGTACACTCCAGACAGTACCGTACGGATAAGGCTTGTAGTAGGGTTAATATGAAACCTTAAAACGGATCAATGTTGAGGAGAGAACTATTAGGGTTTGCCGCAGGGATAAGACAAAACCCTAGAGAATAGAAAGATAAAACCCTAGAGTGGTTCGGCCGCCCTTTCTAGATAGGTCCAACCTATCTTCTCTGATAGTACTTCTCTCAGAAAATCAAAAAAACTTACAAGAGGATGTTGTTCACTGCCTTCCAAGGTTACCCG